AGCAAGTACTGTACTAACCATCAAATACATTATGCAATGGATACTTCAGATAGCTAACAACTACATTATTCAGCGGATACTTCAGGTAACCAACAACTGCATTATATAATGGATGTATCAGCTAAGTGCACTAATCAACAGTTGCATTAATTAATGATTGCATAAAACTGCATACTGATAGTATCAAAAACAGCCTAAACCAACAATTACATTAGTTAAAGATTTTCATAAAACTGCTTACTGAATTCTTAAAAAAAAACACCCAAAACCAACAATTACATTCTTTAATGACTGCATAAAACTGCTTACTGCATTAATTAAAACAGCCTAAAAAAACTATTGCATGAAATCATGCAAAAACTACATAATGTATTAATCAAAAACAGGCTAAACCAAAAACTACTTTAACTAATGATTGCATAATAGTCCTTCCATTTATTCAACAAAAATATCCAATACCAACAATTATATTAATTAATGATTACGGATCGCCTGAACAATTTTTCTTGCCTACAGTACGGAATACTAATTATCGTTTTCTGTTGATGACTACTCTAAATTCAATGTACTTTACATGTAAGAAATTATTGTATGCTGGCTTCATAAAAAGGAAACGATTTATTTACGAGTTATAGTGATGAAATATTGAACGAGAATTTACCCAACGAACCCGTAACTTAAACCTAACGTTCCCTAGCTTTTCCCCGAAGTTAATAAAAAATACTACCAGAAACATGCTAATTTTCACTTTCTGCTGATATCTAAACTAACACAAATTTACTTTTTTATGTCCATAAATGAATAGAGTTTCGCATCTTTAAAAGTGAAAAGTATATTTTGAGGTAATTGGTTGAAATTTTGTGATTAAAAATTTCATTTTAGGTGTAATCAATTACAACAGTCCCTTAACAGACAATCCCCTAGCCCTCTGCTGCTCCATCCACGTGTACATGGCCGCGTCTACTTTATCGAAGATTGGTGTTTTCACATACGAAGATTTTCTTGCTTTAGCAGGGTTTTCGTTTGTTGAAATGTGTCTTTGTATTTTCTCTCTGTTTTTCCATATGGTCGCTACCGTAGACTTCGAAAGTCCAAAACGTTTTCCAATCGCTGAATTGGACTCGTGGTTCTCATAGGCTTTTATTACGCTCAGTTTCGTATCAATGGAAATACACTGTCTTGGTCTTTTCGAGGCAGAAACCGTTGTTGAAATGTACATTACATTTCATTTAATTATGTTTCAATCAATTAATTAAACAATCAGGTCTATGCTCCTCCCATGCTCCCTACCTACCAATGAAAAGGTGTCATTTTAAATAATACGTACAAATGATTCATTTAAATTGCATATATTTTCTGTCGTTTCTTATCTAAACCTTATTCATTGTTTACAAATTTCATCAACGTAAACCAATTCATTCCCAGACGCGCGTCATGTAAAGTTTGTCAACCACAGCTATGCGCTCCTTTGATGTTAACCGACTGTTGCTATTAACGATGATAGCGGCCTAATGTCGTCTCTGTAAGACGGTCTAAATTTAGATCGGTATGTCGCTGGAAAGAGACCAGTGACTGGTGCTCCTTTTATTGGCAATGACTTTTCCACGTCTTATTATCGCCGTTAGTGTTTTTATAAACGATGCTTTAATTGATAAAATAAAGACTCGTAAAACACAATTGATGTTCAATTGCTTTAATACACTTGAAGTTTCATGTTATGCAATAGAATAAATGAACAAAAGCACTCAAAATTCATATGGATAATAGCTTTAAAAAGTTACCTAAAATCGTTTTACGATCGCATGATGACGTCATCGGCCAAACACCGTTCGTAAAATAGAAGGTTCCTAATTGAGAAGTTCGTAATTGGGAAGGTCGACTGCAGTCGACCTTCTCAATTACGTACCCTTTGGTCTAAAAGGCGTTCGTAATTGAGAAAATTCATAATTGAGAAGTATGAAAAAATAGCGCCCTCTAGATTGATTTTTTAACCGTGTGTGTGCGCTTAACGATCGTCACGGCCTATTGGTATGGTCTATGACTGGTCTCAGTTTACACAGAATATTTACAATGTGCAAACAACAACAAATTCTAAACTATTATATTTTATTACTGTATAAACGAACCTCTCTCCATCGTGCTATTATTTACCCATAGCCTCCGTGCCCACAGCCGATTCAAAATCAAGAAGTACTCCGCATGGGCGACGATCATTCGTTTAACCATGCACGCTCCAGGGTTTTAGCATTGTGAACCAGCCGCCGCACTGCTGCCAGCCTTTGATCGCGAGTCCGCAATACACGAACGAACGTATAAGACGTGATTCTTTTCTGTGCTGCATATAACTGATGAAACACTTTCAGAAGCGTCATGAGCGTCATATTTGGCGGATACCGGCGCTATATAATTGTTCTATTCTATGCTATTTAATTCAAACAGATAAATTACAAACGCAAAGGATGGGTATGATTTAAACAAATAAAACAACAAACACCATAGACGGACATGAACGATTTTATGAACGATATGACGGACAAGATTTGAAAAAAAAAAATTAAATAACGAAAACATAAGACGGACATGAAAAAATTCATAAAGGAACGAACGTATAAGACGGACATGATTCAAACAATAGAACAAAGCCAACATAAGACTGACATTTCTCAAACAAATAACAAACGTATCGGACGGACATAGACAAATGATACTGTGTAGACGAATGAATAATTTTGTAATGACAAAATATTTATGAACAAAAACAAACAAATATGAAACCAATGGACAGTTTTACAAATGAACATGTACCGGTACGCATGTAAAATGTGCAAGTTGTGATGATATATCGCTTCTGCCTTTATTCATAAATGAGGGATACTAATTGAAAGTATCCCTTCTTAATTTTTTTCCTTTTTTTATGGGGGGGGGTGTTGGAGGGGTGGCGTTTTTTCCCCCACCATCTTCAGTACAATTCTGTACAGTACACATCATACGGGAAAAAAAATCTGTCATCGACTTCTGTCTTAAATTGTTGAACCTCTGTTTGGCAGCTTCATCTCGCCATTTCCTCACTTGCATTAGGTGAATATAATCCACATCCCCTTATCTTCCAGCCACATCAGCAGCGTTAAAAGCTG